ACCGGAGAAAAAACAAAAAAAAAAAAAAAAAAAAAAAAGGAAATCTTATCCTTATTTTGGTGACTAATATTATTCCAATCTCCGAGGTTTTTAAAGCTGGAGTTCCTTAGATTTTAATTTTAATGCTCATTGTTTTAAAATAACTGTTTTGAAGTATAATTTCCACATTTCCAAGAATTTTGTACATCCCACAAAATTCTTTCCTTTAAATGTACAGGTTAGTGGTATGCAGTAAATTTATACAATTGTGCAATCATTTTGACAATCTAATTTTATAAAGTTCCAGTTGTACCAAAAGTTATCTTGGGCTTGTTTGCAGTCATTTCCTTACTGGTATTTGTTTAATTTTGCTTTATCATTTATATAGCTAAGATTATTCCATAATTTTGCTAGGCTATCTTTTCATTACTAATTAGTATAAGGGGATAAAGAAGTCCTATTGTGGTAAAAGAAGGATAATTTAATACACAAATCCTTCTTAGTACTTACTCTTTGTGTCTGATTTTTATAGTAGGTTTTCCTATAACCTCTCAGATATATTTCCTTCTCAGAGTGTGAGATTATGGGTGTTATACTTAAGACACTGGGGATAACTTTAATGCAGTGGTGTTAATTATGATTTTGGTATTGTGAAGTGATTTGCCTTTTCAGGATGTCTTTGGAAGTAGCATCAAATCAACCGATATTTCTTTAAAGGAGAAGAAACTAATTTAAATTGGAAGTTCTCAATCATTTTCAATAAGCAATTACAATTTTTAATTTTATATTTTTTCTTAAAACAAGTTGCTACATGAAATATGTATTATGATAAGTAGCAACACTGACATTCACAGGAATTTGAGTTTTAGTTGTAATCTTATTGTTTCTGATGAAGATAATGCCCATAAATCTTGGTTTCCTGAAATCCTCACAATAAGTTGTCTCTCTTATAATCATTAACGTATCAATGGAATGCTGGATAAGTTGAAGTGCTGCAACTATCAAGTAAAGTTTACAAATGTTCTCAAGTCTTCCCAGAAATAAAGATAAAGTAAATTAACTAAAGTTTGCAACTTGCATTTTACGCGGACTCCTAGCTAAGAAGAAACATCTCAGGAGAAGGCTGGCATATGCTTCAGCTGTTATTTATGCAGAATTATCACTTACTATAAAGTTATAGTAAGGGAGTGATCATTTTCTATGTGACAGACACAATGCCAAGCAATTTATATTATTTCATTTAATAACATTGTAATAACATTTATTTTATTCATATGGAGACTGACATTTAAACATGTTGGCTAGAAAATTACTTAGAGCCAGTATTAAAATTCACACATGGCTGATTACACACACAGTTTCTTAACCATTCTTCTATTTAACCTGTATAGTTTGGTCTTCCCTTACATAAAGGTAGAAAATTTCAAAGTGCTCCATACTTCTCAGTAGAAAATGTAATCTAAATTAAGATAGTCTCATCAGTATTCTACTACTTGGAGTAGTTATAAGTGTGGTGCTTTTAAAGATTTTCTGCACTTCTGCTTTTCTTCTGCTTATATTTCTACAAAAAAATCACTTGAAAAATATGAACCATTCAGACAACATTGGTCAAAATGATACAAGTATATACTTCGATATTAAAATATTATTTGTTCTATACCAAAGTGTCACCTTCATCAAATTGGGTAGAATTACTCAGAGAAGTGTTTCTAACTTTACCTAGCACATTCTCTCAGCTTAGGAATGAAAATATGCCTTGAGAAAGAATTGCTTCAAATAACTAATACCTTTTACAGGTATTATAATTAGTAATCATTTATCTTCTTACATAGAAAAATTACATGAAAAATTGTAGATTTCAAAATACTAAAGTGATTGCAATTAAAAATAGAGAAATATAAGTCTACTGCAAAGTGTCAATTTAATTTGATACGATTTGTTCAAAACTTCATATAAGATTTGGTCTATGGTTTTAGGAAAAAAAATTGGATGTTACTAAGCTACTATTTCTTACATCAATTCCTAAAGCCTCAAAAAATACCTCCTATTATTTTCCTCAAAATCCAGTGATGTCACTTACAAATTTATCTGAGTTTGAAAAACAAACTGAGTGAAATACAAGGGCTAGAGAATCTGCCATAGTGCTCTGAGGCAGTCTCTGTCTCTGTCGCTGTCTCTGTCTCTGTCTGTCTGTCTGTCTGTCTCTCTCTCTCCCTCTCTCTCTCTCTCTTTCCTTCCCTCCTTTCTCCCTCCCACTCACATCCACACACATTTGTGTATACACATCCCATGAAGCATACTAAACATATTTAATTCCACATGGCTGTATATGCATGCTTTTAGGTAGTCTTCTATTACTTGGTGTACTAGAGTATAATAAACAAGCATATCTCAAGTAGTACTTCAGTGAATGTTCATAAACTGAATGTATACATATCATCATCTAATAGAACATTAGCCAGGAAGCTACAAGTTAACCACTTGTTGATATTTATCACTATTTTAACAGTGTAGTTAGCTTTAGTAGTTTCTAAATTTCACATAGATGGAATTCTTCAAAATGCACTCTTTTATTAAATGGCTTCTTTCACGTGTGTGCGTGTGTGTGTGTGTGTGTGTGTGTCTGGGGATGACCCCAAGACCTCCAGCATGCTCTATGCCAGTTAGCTGCACCCCCATTCCGTTTACTTTTTTGCAAGTCATAGTACTTCATTTATTTTTCATTGCTCTATTCTTTCATTATTTGAATATATTACATTTACTTATCTATTATATTCAAAATAGATCTGAGATTTTTAAATTTGGGGACAGGAGGAGTAATGTGGCAATATCTTTCACGTATACATTTGTGTATATTCTCATTGGCTATATCTAAGAGTGGATTACTGAGCCTGAGGAGTGTGTGTGTGTCTATTTTAGCTTATACAGTTTTCCCCACATGCTGCTTGAGCCACGTTATATTCTTATCAGCAATGTATCCAATGTATCGGAGCTACAGTGCTCTCATCCCTTGAAAATGCTTGCTATTTTTAGTCTGTGTAGTGTCAGTCTTTTTTGTGGAGCCATAATGTTAGTGCATTAGATTTTAAGTTGTGTTACATTGATAATGAATGAGGGAGAGAGTGTCTTTATATTTGTTGAGTCTTTACAGTCTTTACAATTACCTAATTGTTTTTACTCAAGGTGAACTCTCTAATTTGGAGAATCCATGGTATATGAATTCTGCCTCTTTTTCTTCTCACCGATCTGTAATGGAATGCAAAAATACTCAATTCTTGTCTCATTTTATGTTGTGGACTAGCTTCAGAATGAGTAGGGAAGCAAAGATTATTTAAAAATATATATATCTAGAAGTTAGTCTGCAGTGTCTGATTATATGATCTTGACATGTATGACGTCACTCACACTGGGAAGCTGAAAATGTTGTTCTCATAGAAGTAGGTGGTAAAGTGGTGGATCCTAGGGGCTGGGGGAATTGTGGAAATGTTGGAGGAGTGTTGGTCAAATGATACAAAGTATTAGATAAGAGGAACAAATACAAAAGACCTATTGTGCAACATAATGACTGTAGTTAATTATAATACATTATATTCCTTGCACATGCTGCGTGTATGCTAAGTAGTCTCATACCTGAAATGGTAACTAGGTGAGGTAATGAATGTGTTAATTACCTAGATTTGCTAATTCCACAATGCTCATATACTTCAAAATGTATTGTACGTGATAATACAACATTATTTGTCCATTTTTAAAAGGTAAAACTTTTACTTTCTTTAAATACAAATCCCATAAACTTTTTTATTCTCTAGTACTCTATAAATTTTATTAACTATTTAAATTTAAATCTTTGGATTGATTGCTGATTATTGTAAAATTAGTTTAACATCATGATTTGCTTTTACTTTCAGATGCAGCAACTGTTTCATGAAAATTACGAGCACAATCGGAAGGGTTACATCCAAGACCTTCACAACAGCAAAATCCATGCAGCCATAACACTGCATCCTAACAAAAGGCCTGCATACCAATACAGGCTGCACAATTACATGCTCAGCCGAAAAATTTCTGAACTCCGCTACCGAACCATCCAGCTCCACAGAGAGAGTGCTCTGATGAGCAAACTCAGTAACAGTGAAGTGAGCAAAGAGGACCAGCAGCTTGGCGTGGTGCCATCTTTCAACCACTTCCAGCCCCGAGAGAGAAATGAAGTGATAGAATGGGAGTTCCTGACAGGCAAGCTCCTCTACTCAGCCGCTGAGACCCAGCCTCCTCGACAGAGCATCAGTAGCATTCTAAGGACAGCACTGGATGACACTGTTCTGCAGGTGATGGAGATGATCAACGAGAATGCCAAGAGTAGAGGAAGGCTAATTGACTTCAAAGAAATTCAGTATGGCTATCGCAGGGTTGACCCCCTGTATGGGGTGGAGTACATTTTGGATTTACTACTCCTGTATAAGAGGCACAAAGGCAGGAAACTGACAGTGCCAGTGAGGCGCCATGCTTATCTTCAGCAGGTGTTCAGCAAGCCTTTCTTCAGAGAAATGGAAGAGCTTGATGTCAACAGTCTTGTGGAGAGTATTAACAGTGACACGCAATCATTCTCCTTTCTATCAAATTCTTTAAAGATACTATCTTCTCTCCAAGGGTCCAGAGAAATGGGAGGACATAATGAAAAGAAAATACATATTCTTGTCCCCCTTATCGGAAGGTATGACATTTTCTTGAGATTCATGGAGAACTTTGAAAACACATGTCTTATCCCAAAGCAGAACACAAAGTTGGTCATCATTCTTTTCAGCCAGGATTCGGGCCAAGATTCCGACAAGCACATTGAGCTGATAAAAGAGTATCAAAGCAAGTACCCTGCTGCAGAAATGACTCTGATTCCTATGAAGGGTGAGTTTTCCAGAGGCCTTGGTCTTGAAATGGCTTCTTCACAGTTTGACAATGATACTTTGCTGCTATTTTGTGATGTTGACTTGATCTTCAGAGGAGATTTTCTCCAGCGATGTAGAGACAATACAATTCAGGGACAACAAGTGTACTATCCTATCATCTTTAGCCAGTATGACCCAAAGGTAACCAATGGGGGAAATCCTCCCACTGATGATGACTTTGTGTTCTCAAAGAAGACTGGATTTTGGAGAGACTATGGCTATGGAATCACTTGTATTTATAAAAGTGATCTTCTGGGTGCAGGTGGATTTGATACCTCAATACAAGGCTGGGGACTGGAAGATGTAGATCTGTACAATAAAGTTATTGGCTCTGGCTTAAGGCCTTTCAGAAGTCAAGAAGTAGGAGTGGTGCATATTTTCCATCCAGTTCATTGTGATCCTAACTTGGACCCTAAGCAGTACAAAATGTGCTTAGGATCTAAAGCAAGTACTTTTGCCTCAACCATGCAACTGGCTGAACTCTGGTTAGAAAAACATTTGGGTGTCAGGTACAATCGAACTCTCTCCTGACACCCCAGGCAACAAATATTGCCTTTTTAAAGGGGAGTTTACCTCATTGTTTATTGTTATTTTTATTTTATTATTGTAATTATTATTGTTATTATTATTGTTATAATTTTATTTTGTTGTCCCGGTCTTAAACTACTCTTGGTTGTCTTCCAAAGGGTGTTTTTTGACCTCAAGAAAGAAGAGTCTGCCGTTCACTGCTATTTCAGAGTTCTACTGAAGTCAATATGTGTATTACTTTTTATATATCTTTATTTGAGATTGAGTTAAATCATGGCAATCAAATGACTTCTGAAGCTCATTCATCACAAGAGACAGCTTAGAAGAATGTTCTCTTAGGGCTTAAAGATGCAATATGACTCTTATTTTGTTTGTCAAATTCAATGTGATACAAATATTTACTGGTGAAAGGTACCACAAAAGTGCTTTATGCTTCCTATGGGGAAGGGACTCTGTAACATAAACTTGAGTTTTGTAATTTATACAAGGACTTAAATATATAGACAATAATTTTCTTCATCTTTAGAATTTTTAAAGTAAATGAACACTTATGATTGTATGTTTATTTTTTAAAAAAAGTTTTAAAAATTGAGGAGTTTTGTTCCACAAGCAACCGGTACTGGCTACCCTGGTCTTATGACATTATGAACTCCTCGTAACTGCTATAAATGCGAATGAACTTTATTTTCTCAAGGAAATATGATTTAATTAAATATTCATGTACATTTTAGAAGCTTTATGAAACAATGTCCTTCATTTGCTGGCAAGAAGATAAAATATGACAGAACCTGTTTATTTATAATAAAACACAGGTATAGCAGTATTCTTTTTCAAAAGCACTGAAAAAGTTTTGTCATTTTCTTTTGGTCATTTTCAATCTGTTTCTAATGGTCAGCCATAAAATATGCTTGTTGCACAAGCTGACAATGTTAAGAAGGGATTATGAGTATATTCTTTCTATTTCTTCACTCTGGAGCCTCGTCTTCAACACAAGCAGTTTCCTTATTCAGTGATCTGAAAACTGAAAGTAACATTCTTCATTGGTCTGTACAGCATGAGAAGCCAGTAGATCTGGAATAGTCCAGAAACTATCTTTAATTTAGTTGGAGTTATCTGAAAGACATACCAATTACTAGGGAAATCACAAATGTGACAATAATTTTACATTATAAAATAAGAGCAATACTTCATCTAATTTCCAAATTCTTTCTGTCTTTGAATCAATTCAGTGGTGTCCAGTTTGTAGGAAACCATCGTCACTTTCAACAAATGCAATTAAAAAACTGAATACCATGCAAGAATGCAAGAAGACACATTTTTAAAATTTCAGTTGTGAAAAAGTAACATATTTACATGTTTTGAAAGTCAAACAAAATTGTAAAATTTCAATGTTCACCAGCCTCTCTGTCCATCTGTACATATGTTCCCATGATCACAGTTAACCACGGTTTAAAGTTTGTGTATATTTATATATTTCCTCCCAGAGTTTCTGAAGTAGGAAAGATACATGTTTTATTCTTTATAGTCTTTACACAACATTTTATGCTTTTATTTTCATTTTGCACCTTATAAGAAAATATTTGGCAGCAAAGTTAATTTGAAGGTGATTGTCATAAGTTGTTGCCATGTTTTTGAACAGACACAAGGGCATATAGCATTTGCTTTAAAAATGAGTTCTTCACCTGTAGCAACCTCTCAGTGGAGATATTTTGGGGTTTCAAAACTAGCATTGCTTAACAGTGGGAAAAACATGACAGTAATCTTCTTGAGCATAACATAGACCTTAATAATGTCAAGTTCCTTAGAGAGAAATTAGTGAGAATTTTAGTTTTTAAAATGCTAATCTTCACAGGGCTGACAATTCCGAACTGATCTCTGCTCTAATATTGTCTGAAGCCTTCACAGCCCTTTCTTTAATAGCTTGTTTTCCTGCACTATATGACAGCTGTTTTGTGGGGTTCAATTTTATAAACAGTTAAGTATAATAACATTCAGTAGTGATATTTATTTGGAAAGGTCTATTACCAAACAATAATTATTAATAATTCATTAATGAAGAAAGGAAATAGGAGTCTGCTCTTTAATTTAAATAATTGAAGTGTGAGGATTTTACAGAAGAATAAATGTAAAGGACCATTTAAAAACATTCCAAATCCTGAGAGTTTGTGGCAGCTCTCAGAGGATGTCTTTTGCTGTTATACTACTAGAACTACACCAAAGAAACAATTAATTATACATAATGCACACTATACAGAATAATTAATAAAGATACATTTAAAAATCTGTTATATAATTTTGCATTAAAGTTTCTTGTAATTCTTTATTCAGGCAATGCAATGTCTCTAACTGAAAAATAAGGGGTGATGTTACAAAACCAAGTGTTTCCTTATCTGTGTAGTAGCTACAAGCTAAAGACCTTTAAGGTTGAATGGCAGCACCTGGTGAATGTAACCAAATGCATGATACGTCCATGGTAAGCTGTGCACCCTGTCTTCTGTTAAACGTTCCCCCAATCACAATTCCATCCACTTGAAACATTGTCTGTTATTCACCCAACATCACACTATGTGTTTTACTTGAACTTTCTTTTAAAATTTAATGTTCCTAACAACTCTCAGAATATGGATATTATTTTATACATTCAACAGATAGGGGAACCAAGGCCTTCAGCGTTCGTCTCTTGTTCAGAGTTCACACAGTTGGCATATTATACACTTACGGCGCAAGATAAATGCTGTGTGAACCAGGAGCACCTATCTTTGTAGTCTTCCTGACACCTTCTCAGTTTTTGAAAGGATGTAAGAAACAATGGGGAGCACAGGTCTAGTTGATGCCAGAGACATGGCAGGCATTCAGAGTGCTTCTGCTAAATGCTCCTTCCAGGTAAAGCCAAGTTTGCTGGTGTTTGGTTAGTGAGAAACCCCTAATGTTTGCGTCTCAGGTTTCAACCATTTTGCCAGTTTCTGCTGTGCAAGTGGTATGCCAGTGAAGAGAAAAATTTTTCTGTCTACTTGCTCACAAGATACTGGAGCTGACTAAGACATAATGCTCAAGAGTTCCCCAAGCCAGGCCCAACTCTTCTATATTACTACAGCAAGCTGAGTACAGAAGCTGTCAGCACTGAGCACCACATAATTGCTTGACTGTCTAAGTGACTTTACTCAAACTTGGTAAAAGCAACATTGGTGGTATTGAAATATATTTGAATGTACCAGTTGAGTCTACTATGCTAAGGTAATACTTTGAAAACTACAGGAATGAAATACTCAAATGTGTGGACAGATAATCCAACCAAGGGAATAAATGCTTACTGGAAAGAAAAATGATAAAATAACTGGTTTTAGTATAAGAAAGCTGGAGGGTCACCATGGACAGTAGTTTCAGGAGTGAAGGATTCTTGTTTCCTTTTTAGATTAGCCTTGAACATTTCATTCTTCTAGGAGTGG